TTGCTTTGCCACGTCCTGCACTTTTCAATAAACTGATATACGCATTACGTTCGTTACATGAGCGTTACGAGCAGCTTTGGTCTTTCCCCGTGTTACGGTCGTGGCCAATGTGTTACGGTCGTAACACGCTTCAAGATGGCTTACGGTCGTGGCAGCTCTATTACGACCGTCACAACTACAAAAATGTAATTCTTTGACAGATTTGTCTTTTTCTTCTGTTCTTTTGATTGCTTTCTTGCATTGTTTCATGTTTTCTTCTGTTTTGAGCTGAGTTATGAATACCTGCAAAAAGTAATGACAAACTCGAAATATTCGGGAGTTAATCGGGTCAAAATAATACAGAACGGGTAAATTTCATGGAAAATAAACGATACAATTTCGTGTTATCACGAAGTATCTTGGCAAAACAAACAAGTATAAGATCATAGTCCCACGATGACGCTATTCAAAGTTGCCTTACAAAATTGATCTTGGTCCCTCAAGATGCTAAGATACTTTGCAACATTGCTAATCAGGGTTATACGATGACCCACGCCTGTCCCGTTTACATCCAAAGATAGGGTTGCTTACCAAATCAATGGTAAGAAAACAATGTCAAAGGAATAGAAAATGCACAAGAAAGACATTTGAGTAGGTAGATAGCTTCTAGTTACTTGCTCCATTTCAAACAACTATCCTTTCTATTTTCAAAACAAACACACACATTTCAAAACATTTTACAATCATTGAAGACATTTTCAAAAAGACAAACATCTTTGTATACATTCTTACGAACGAGAATCATTACAAAGATTGCCTAAACGAATGACCTCTTTTACAAAATACTTTCAAAACCACACAAATCACAATTTCAAACAACAAAAGCAAGTGATCTAAGCAAGGAACTAAGAGCCCATGGAAAACCATGGATGAAAAGGGTGGTAATACCTTCCCTTTTCATAATCTACCCCCCAAACTCAAGAAAACATATCAAAGGTATTTCCTGTGCTTTTTTACCTTTCCTTTTGGATAAAAGAAAAGTCGGTGGCGACTCTTGCTAACCGCAACATTTGCGATAAAACGCAAAAACCTCAAGTCAGTTCTCCCACCGTATCACAGAACTGGCGACTCTGCTGGGGAAATTTTATAGAAGTGGAGTTACCTTAAGGTTTAGATCACATTTATTTGCTTACATTTGTTTGACTTGTTTGCTTTACATTATGGTTCTTTGTTTGAGTTTGAATCCTCCACCCAGATTTGGGAAACATTATAGGTAAATAGCAATACGTTATGGAAACTCTGCGGGGTATACTGACATGGTCTAAGCAATAACTATGTTAGTGTGACATATTTGTGGGTATTGGTAGCCTTTGAGTTAATCAAAGAGAATACGGGGCCGCTGAGTGATGTCATGAAGCACTAATGAACTTCTAGAACCCCTTACTTGACCAACTTGGCCTTTAGGATGTAGTGAGATGACCGACTTTGGTGCAGTCTGAAGTTGGTAGATACTCGATACTACACTCATTGAGGGTTGGTTTCTTGGGATATTTCGGTCGCCATTAAAAAGGCTTGAGCTGAAACAATGACCAAGGAAACAATCCAGTGATATTGAGCTCCTTAGAACCCGGTTACTATTATTAGGACAGGTTAAGCCAACTAAACTTCAAGAGGGTACTTACCTATAAAACCCCATGCAAGCCTAAACTAAGAACTTGTTTGATTTGCTTGTATATGCATATTTGTACATAACATCATGGACATCATGAACATTATATGCATTCACTAACCATTTCAAGGATTTTGGAGATTCATCTTTGTTCTTGTTTTGTAGGATATGGATTCACTTCGCAGGAAAACTATCCAGATCAACCTTGTAAGAATTCCTCCATAACTCAAGGAGCTAGCTTCAAGGATCCCTGAGAACTCTCCATTCACTGAGATACATGGTCGCCTACTCAACTTGGTTACCTCCAACACAGAGGAGGATATGATGAAGGTTCTCTTCCAGTTCTTTGACCCTTTGCATCATTGCTTCACATTTCCTGACTATCAGCTTGTGCCTACTTTGGAAGAATTCTCTCAACTCTTGAGGATTCCTATTCTCAATCAAATACCTTTCAACAGTACGGAAAGAGATCCAAATCCAGAAGAGATTGCTCAAGCCCTGCATTTGCACTCATCTGATGTCACAACTCATTGGGAAACTTGAAATAATGCCCATACTTTTGACAATTGTAACACTAAATGTGACTCTTATCAGAATTTCAACCACCACCTCTTCCTCTACCTCCAACACCACCTCTTTGGTTGCCTTGGTAATTGGGTCTTCTTTGATTCAACACAATTCCTTCTTACTGGTTTCCTCTGCCAGCTAAATTGTTGTAGCCACCTCTACCTTTATCGAACCACTTTCCTTTGCCTTTACTTTCTTTTGCTGATTGTGCCCGTAAAGCCACATCACTCTTCGACTTTCCTGCAGCTCTTTCAGCCAATCGTTGTTCATGAGATTCAAGCATTCCTTAAAGATATTCTTTTGTTAACTTCGATAAACCCTTCGATTCTTCTATGTCTACCACCACGTGATCGAACTTAGGAGCCAAAGACCTCAAGATCTTTAAAATAACAGCTCTTGTTGTTAATTCTTCTCCATATACCTTGATTTGATTCACTAGTTTCGTAACCTTAGTGAAGAAATCAGATATGCTCTCGCTATCTTCCATCTGAAACAATTGACACATTCTTTTCTGAGTTTGTAACTTCACCTCTTTCACCTTTTCCGCACCTCTAAAAGACTTCTCAAAGATCTCCCAAACTTCTTTTGCAGATTCTGAGTCACTCACTTTTTCAAAATTTTCTAGACTCAGACATTGATGAATAATAAAGAGTGTTTTATAACTCTTCTTCTGCGATTCTACGTGTTCTTTCTTTTCTTCTTCTGAAGCATATTCTTCAAGCGCTTCTAATTCATCCTTCACAAGACCCCAAAGACCTTGACACCTGAATATAACCTTCATCTGTTTGCACCAATTCTCATATTTATGTACTTTCAGAATTGTAAGACTTGTTGGATAATTTCTGTTCCCATAATTCACCGCCATCGTGATTTCTTCTTCTTCCCTTTATCACTTCTTGATTGCTCTTCCCTCGAATCGATCAACTGGAGCTCTTGATATCGGATATTGGAAATCCACCAAAACCTATGATGAATTTATATCAATCTTGATGAACAAGATTGTTATCACTCATACAATAACGATGAAAAGAAAAGAAAATTTAAAGAAGAAAATGATTATGGTTTCTGCAGAGTTTCTCTCTGCCTACAAACCGTGGAAAACTTTTGTTCACTTGCAACTGCAAATACTATGAATGAATGAATTGATTCGAGAATAAGGATTACTCCCTCTATTTATAGTTGTAGGTTAGCTTGCTCTCTAAGACAAAAAGTCCAAAACTATACAAGCCCAAAATACTTATTTTGGAACTAAATCAAATCTGTGTGAAACAACTGCTTCAACACACTATCTAGACTAATTTGACACACCTTGTGTCGAGCAACATCCTGCTTCGACACAAGGAATTACACATTTAACAAAAAATGTATACATGCAGTTTTAGTCCATTCTATTTTCTAAAATTTTGAAAACTAATTAATTATCATTAAACTTTTAAATTTTTGAATAATTTTTTTCATACGTGTTTAAAATACTATAAAGTTTTTCTTTATAAAATTCTAGAATTTTTTAAAATGAGAAAATTAAATACGGATTTTTTAAATTTCAAAAGATAATGATAAAAGTAATGAAAATCTCGACTTAGAAATCAAATTTTGAGCTTTTTTTTTAGAAACTTTTCATAACGTTCTAAACACGTCCGTAAAATAATCATTCAAAAATACACATCGATTTAACAACATGGACTAAAATTACGTGCATAATAATTTTGTAGGGATCAAAAAATGCCATTTTTTTAGAGACCAAAAATAAAATTTGGTAATTTTATAGGGACAAAAAAATATTTAACCCTAAATTAAATTACAAAACAAAAAGGGAAGAAGTAATTGATAACAATTAAGGAGGATAAATAAGGAAAATAAAAGAGACTTGTAATAGGGGTGGCAAAACGGGCTCGCCCCATTGGATATATCTGTTTTGTATACACTTTAGTGCGGGGCGGACCAATGGTTTAGGCTCGCACCTTATAATGTATCTGCCTCGCTCCTTCCTATTTTTTGCGAGCATATGCATTTACATGAATTTTTTTTTAATTTTTACGCTTAAAATGAGCAGTGTCCGTAGGCTCACTCCGTTCTACCCTCATTTTTATTACAGGGCAGACCAAGGTTTTGAGTCTGCATCCTCAAATATGTCCATCCGCTCTGTTTTTGTGTGGGTCTAAATGGGGTGGACATGTCCGTTTGCCACCCCTAATTGTAATAATCAAAATATAATAAATGTAAAATTAATTATTACTAAATTCAAAAATTAAGAATTGTAGCTTTTAAGAAAATTGATTTTGGAGGAGAATAATTGATTTTGGAGAAAAGCTCAAACATAAAAAAAGACGAATTTTCACGTTGAAGCGAAATAAAAATGCTTTTGCGGTTTGTAAATGTCAATTCACTTAATACTTATTTTAGATTGACAATAAATAAAATTAATTTTAACATAATTGAGTTTGATAGAATTAGTTTTAACAAAATTGAGTTTAATATAATTTATTTTTGTTCAGATATACTTATATAAAAGTGAATTAAATAATAATTTCAATCAAAAAATCAAATTTAAAAATAACTTCTATTTTAAGACAAAAACAACTTCTATTTTAAAATCATTTCAGAATCAATTCTACGTATTTAAAATTATTTTTGACTATTCTAATAACCACACCAAACATAGTATTAATGAAACTGAAAATTGGAAACCATAGTTAAAATTTAACCATAGTTAAAATTTAACCATAGTTGAGTTGGTTGGGTCCCATTCCATTATAAAAAGGTAGTATGTTTGGGTTAAGAGAACAAAAACTTAAAACAAAAAAGAAAAAAATGATTAACCAGCAAAGCAAGAGGCAGTAGTAGTAAAATTGGGGCAAGATAGATTCTTCACAGTTTGTAAGGGCTTTGACAGATGGGTCACTGTACATCGTGACCGTCTTCTCAGATTCAAATTTCTCAACGTTAAAGCCTTTTTCTCCAATTAGGTAATTCCATTTGTTCATCATTTCATCAAACACCTTGTGTTGTGTCTTTTTCTGTTTAACTTTTCCTTCAATTCCAAACGCGCGCAAGTTCTAGGGTTTCTAATTTCTTGATCGACGAGCTCAATTGTGATTTCTTTTTGTGAATTTTAACTGTTCTTGTTTGTTTTCGATTCTTCAGCTTCTGTAGATCTGTGACGGGATTTTGTTAGCTTCGAAATTCGTGTCCCAAAGTCACAGGTTGGTTTCCGAACATTCCGCACTGTCATCTCTTTTTTGTTATACTTTTGTTGTCCTTTTTTCACAGTAAGATTCTTGTAAGAATTTAGTTTTTTTTTTTGGTGAGAATTTGGATCGTTTGGTGGGTTCGGTGCTTTTGTTTTGTAATTACTTCATGCTAGTTACTATGTTATGTTGTGTAAGTGTGTCTTTGGTGAGTTTGCAAATGAGTACTTGATTATTGAATGCCATTTATTTACCATGTTCTTGTGATTATGACTGGTAAAGGTTGCTATTTGCATCTTGGTTTTGTAACACATGCTTTGTTTAAGAAAAAATAGAGCCGGTCTTACTTTTAGTGTTGCTTAGAAACTTGGTATGAAGAGAATGGAAATATTTGTTTTGTTAAAGATGATGGGTTCTGTATGAGTATTTGAGTAGGATATTCTTGTATACATGGATTGTCTTATTGCTATGCCTTAAAACAATATAGTTGTGGAGAACAATCTGAAGGGGAGCTTATGAATGTTAAATGGAGTTAACATTTTGTCCTAAGGTGTAGCTCAAGTGATTGAGTTGGGAAATCCGAAGGACTTTGAGATGAGGCTCAAGTTACTAATCCTAACTATCAACACAATACACTAACAACCGGCATTTTCAAATAAAAAACTCAAGTTTACCTATTCTGCTCTTTTGAAGTGTACTTGATTATTTGTTTAGGCTTTATAACTGTATAAGTTAGTGCTACATCAGTGCTGTGCATTGATAGGCTGGATTAACTGCCAAATGTCTTTCTGCATAAATTCCACTTGAACTGTAATTAAGGTAAGGCCCCATGATTACTTGATAGAAAACAAGTGCTGACACTGCCACTGTTATTCCTGTGTATCCCATTTCTACAAAATCAAATTGGAACTAGACCTGGTTGGGCACTGTTTTTCCATTGTTCTATATTTGTATTTATGCTGATTTGCTATGATGTTGTAATTTGACAAAAACGACACTTGAAACGTGTCTCTCTTTGACACATGTAACATATGTTGTTCCATACCGGTGCCCATAGAAATTTTCTATGGTGCTCAATGCAAGACCCCAAGTTTAATTATTAAAAACTGAATATTCTTATAAGTTGCTAACATGATTTAAGAAATCAGTCTTTTTCTGTAATAGTTTTGAATATTGATATGTGATGCATACATACTTTGAAAAGCTGGTTTGGTATAATTGTTGCTCAACACACCTAAATCTCAAGAATTTTAGTGGTACATATCAGCTTGTTTTTCTGTTGGTTCAGGTACACGAGGTTTCTTCATGCAAAGGCGGCTTGCTACAGACTTTAAGCTTTGGGGTTTAAAATTTGTCTTTTAACTAAGTGTGGAGGAAATCATATTACAGGCTTGAAATGATGGAGTGCAACAAAGATGAGGCAGTTAGGGCCAAAGAAATAGCAGAGAGGAAATTTTCTGAAAGGGAATATATTGGTGCGAAGAAGTTTGCTATTAAGGCTCAAAGTCTGTATCCTGATTTGGAGGATGTTCCCCAGTTTTTGACTACTATTGACATTTATATATCTGCTGAGAACAAAGTAAGCGGAGAGATGGATTGGTATGGTATACTTGGAGTGAGCCCCTTTGCTGATGAAGAGACTGTTAGAAAGCAGTACAGGAAGTTAGCTCTCACCCTTCATCCTGACAAAAACAAGTCTTTAGGTGCAGAGGGTGCATTTAAACTGGTTTCAGAGGCATGGAGTTTGTTATCAGACAAGACAAAGAGATTAGAGTATAACCAGAAGAGGAGTTTGAAAAGCTTCCAACATAATACTCCCAACCGTGGGCATCCATCAGCAGCGCCTAGTTCAAATAGTTATTATCATTTTAAGAAGAATACATCTTCAAATGTGAGGGCAGGAAATAATAATGTGAGGGCTGGAAATAATAATGTGAGGGCGCCTGCAACGTCTGTTCCTCCTCCTCAGAAAAAGGCTGAAACCTTTTGGACTATCTGTAATCGGTGCAGGACACATTATGAATATCTTAGAGTTTATTTGAGTCACACCCTTTTATGTCCCAACTGTAATGAAGCTTTTGTGGCTGTAGAGAGGGGTCCTCCTCCCAATGTTTTTAAGCCATCAAGTTCGCCCCCCTTGCATCAGCAGCACCAAAATTCTCGACGTCATCCTGGAAGTAATAATTCAAACCCTCAGTGGGGTTCCCACTCCAGAATGGCTGGTTTTGGTAGCACGGATGGATCGTCTTCTGTTGCCGCCCAAGCTGCAAGTGTTGTGCAGAAGGCTAGTGAGAAAGTGAAGAGAGAAGGAGCACCGTCAATTGCTGAATGGGAGAGGATTCAAATGTCTAAGAGGGCTGATGGTTCTATGAAGAAAAGGAGGACAGATGATATGCGCGCTAATGGTTATCCAGGATATATGGCAAACCATATGGCTATGGGACATGGAGCAACAGGTTTGGGCAGTTTCTCTGAATCAGGAAAGGTTAACATGGATAAAGAAAGGATTTATGGTTTTTCAGGTCTTGCAAGCAAGCATAACAACAGCACGCGAGAGTTGTCAATGTTTGAGTTACGAAACATGTTGGTAGATAAGGCACGGAATGAAATTCGTAAGAAACTTGAAGAATGGAAGTTAAGGGCTGAAGCTAGGATTATCAACAAGAACAAAGAGAATAAGAGACACAAAAATACGCTTAATGATAAGACAACTGGTTCAGTGAAGTATAGAGAGTCCAATGTTAATGGTAATAAGCATGTTGGTATTGATTCTTCACCCGTCATATCTGATGATTCAGTTAAGAGCCAAGCCTATGTTACAATCAATGTTCCGGATCCTGATTTTCACAATTTTGACTTGGATAGAGCTGAAAGTTCCTTTGCAGAAGACCAGGTCTGGGCTGCTTATGATGATGATGATGGAATGCCTAGATATTATGCTAGAATTCACAAGGTGATCTCCATAAAGCCATTTAGAATGCGAATCAGTTGGCTTAACTCTCGAAACAACACTGAATTGGGCCCAATAGATTGGGTAGGTTCTGGTTTTTATAAAACTTGTGGGGATTTCAGGACTGGAAAGCATGAAGTAACTGAATCATTAAATTCATTTTCACACAAGGTTAGGTGGACAAAAGGCAACAGAGGAGTTGTGCGCATCTTTCCAGGTAGGGGAGAAGTCTGGGCACTTTATAGAAACTGGTCCCCTGATTGGAATGAACATACTCCAGATGAAGTGATACATAAGTATGACATGGTAGAGGTGCTTGATGATTTCAGTGAAGAGCAAGGTATATCAGTCACTCCCCTTGTTAAGTTTCCTGGCTTTAGGACAGTATTTCGAAGGCACCAGGACCAGAATGAGGTTAAGAGGATTCCTAAAGAGGAGATGTTCCGATTCTCTCATCAGGTTCCTAATCACTTGCTTAGTGGTCAAGAAGCTCATAATGCTCCAATAGGCTGTCGAGAGTTGGATCCAGCAGCTACTCCTTTAGATCTCCTTCAGATAGAAACGGAAGCTTACGACACTGCAGGTAATGTCAAAAAAGCCTGAGCAAGACACATAACCTACAATTCAGTTCTACTGAAGAACATGCATTTTGAACAGGAGAGAGGATGCTCCGAAACCTTGTAGAGCAGAAATGTTCAAACGAGGGTGACAAACAAAAAATGGAATGGTAGATGACAATGCACAACATTGTGTCCTTTTATGCGTAGGCTTGGGAAATTCAAATTAAAATTGATGAAAATACACCCTCTTACTCAACTTTTTGATTTTGTAAGTCCAACCCAGATAATCTCTAGTGTCTTTTGGTTTTTTGTTGTATAATTTTTAGACATGTTATTCCTAGACTTCATATGGATGTCCATACTCATGGTGAACACAGTTATTACATCAATCTTCAAACAAGATGATTATACTGTTGTTTGGGATTATTACATGCTTTCCGTGCCAGGTGATTTGCTTTTCTAGTTTATGAACAGGCCCATTCTATTAATGAGTTTTACTTCCGTCTGATTCATTTGCTGATTGCAGTTCTATACCTGATGCTATGAAGCATTTACTTATTTAAAACTGCACTTGATGTATATTAAAAAAAACTGCACACCGTTTTTTTATTACGACTTCCTGTTTTTAATAGAAAAACACTCGTGTTCTTCTGTGATTTACGTGGGGTCTCCGCTTGGCAACTTTCACTAAGTATGGGTTGGTGAATGGTAGAGATTACATTCCAGGTATAAAGTTGGTCGGAAATGGTCAGATACATATTTTTAGTTTGATCCTGAGTGGGAGGAGAGCTGCTCAAGAATTTCAATAGATTTAGTAGGTTATTTAGAATGACGGGGAACAGAGACCATGTCAATAGGAAGATGAGGTGGTAGGATTTTGTTGGCTAACGTTTTGAAAATATGTTATATGTTTGGATGTGAAATTAGAACTCGAGAGAATGCTATTCATTCAAAAGAGATTACCATATGAACAGGATCATGTCAACATAAATGATTCTTCAACTTGTGATGTTATCTGGAACAAATTGGTGCCTCATAGGTGTTCTTACTTGCATGGAGGCTATTTAATAATAAAGATTCAGATGTGGAATTACTCAATTGAAATCCAATTTGTGTGCCAAATTGTGATGATATTCAAACTTTTCAATATTAATTTTATAAGAATTGCTCTTTCCACTCTTTCGTGTTCTTCCACACCACCACCGTGAAATCTCGCAATTTTTTTTTACACATTCTTCAGTGTAAATTAGTGAATCACTCTTATTTTTGTAAAAAATTAGTCGAAAATACATCAGTAAAATGTCTACAACGATGAAATACCTTGTAGTGCCACAAGATTCCATCTCTGCGAGCTTCATTAGTGCAATACTGTATGTTTATAAGTTGGGGTGAGTCTTGACATACTCAACAGAATTAATCAAAGCTTATAATTATTAAGTAAAGCTTATAATTTCAATCACTATATGAAAGGTGTACACTAAGTAAGAACTTCTAGTAAAAACTTTTAGGCGCAAAGATGAAAACATACACATGACGAAATATGTTTACAGAAGTGTATCTCTAAAATATTTCAGAGATATATTTTTAGATTAATTTTTACAAAAATAAAGATGGTTCCCCAATTTAGGTTGAGTATTTTGGATTTTCAAGGGTGTGATGGATACACTAACGGTGGAAATAGTTGGATCTTAGATTGAGAATTTAACCGATCGCCTCCTATTTTATACCTAGCATCCCTACATATTTGCATATTGACAATAATGCTTTTTGCTATTATTTATCAATAAAAAATTATATTTGATAAAAAAATTTCACTTTTACTAAGATTTAATTTTAAAATTTTTTGGTAGTTAAAACAAAAATTCCGGTACAATTTTTTATGCATTTTGTTGGAAGTTTGCATTTATAACGGAAATATAAAAAGATCCATATATTCTGAAAAAAAAAGAAGCAATTTTATCGTATTTTTTAAAATTGTCGGTAAAGAAATATCAGAAAATTTGAAAACTCCAGTAATTATCTGAAAAAACAAAAATACTGGGAATTTTGAAAATTTTGATAAAAATCTAAGATTATCGATTATTTCCAAAATTCTTGTATTACTAGAACTTTGCCTACATTCAAAATTTTCTAAAATGCAAAATAATGTTTTACTTGTGCGATTCAAAATCGAACGGCTCATATATAAATTCCTGTTCAGATTATACACATTTCTCCACCATTAATACTGTATATTTTCTTTTTAACATGTTCAAAATTTAAAGATTTTTTCGTCTCTATGAATTGATAGTTTACTCTTTATATGTTATAAATGATATATATTTTCGTCCCGAAGGTATAATATGGCTCCAAGGTAAATAGTTGCTGCTTTGAAAAACAAGATCTAGAAAACCTAACGAGTGTTATCCAATTGTATATGGCTGGAGCTACATACAATACGAGCAAGAGTGATTTATTGACAAAAATTCAAATGTTACTGAGTCTTATTCATGGACAAAAATACATGTGCTGGACTAGAAATAAGGACGACTCAAATGTTGTTGCTGATATCTTTTAGACATATCCTAATTCAGTGAAGTTGTTGAATATGTTTCATTTGATGTTGATTTTTGACTCCACATACAAAACAAATGGGTAATGGCTACCACTCATTTAAAAATGTAAATTTTGATTTATTTGGTTGTTGGTCAGTTTTTGATTAGTGACTGTGCATCGTGATCCATTAGGTATCGACTACCACTACTTGAGATTGTTGGTGTAATGTCAACGAAGTTGACGTTTTTGGTTGGCTTTGCCTATTTAAAATATAAAAGGGAGGAGAACTTCACATGAGAACTGGAGAAGCTCAAAGAGTTTTTCTATTTCGAGAATCTGCTATCAAAGGTTGTGGTAACGGACCAGGAACTCGCACTGATGAATGCCGTGGAAGTTGTGTTTCCAAATTCAACTCATATATTATGTTCGTTCCATATTTCAAAAAACATTACTATAAATTTTAAGGAGTATGTTAAATTAAAAATACAAGAACATGTCATGGATTTATGGAATAACATCATGTATTCAAATAGAGAGACTGAGTTTATGCATCACTTGAAGCACTCTGAGGTTGTTTGTGTTGATACTACTTTATTTGTTAAGTATGTGAGTGAAATATGATTGACACCTTATAAAGAAAGGTTTGTTGTTTCTTGAACTAATAGAGTCACTTATTTAGGGAATACAACAACAAACATGTACATGGACGTGAGTTAGATGTTATTACATTACTAAACATAATTTAACATATATTTCTATTTGTGGATTTTAGGGTATGTTTGCTCATTGAAGACTAAAAAACATGTTGACTATGAACCTGAGAGATTTATGCCGAAGTTAGGATATCGTGAACACCATATTGAATTTTTAGCTAGGTTCAATCAGAGTGTTGTTTCAAAAAAGTATTGTCAATATTGAGCATTGGTATAACACTCCATTCTAAGTCAAATTGCACAATTTCGTTTCAAGATAGTGTATATATCACATTGTAAAGGAGCTAGAAAGGGTAAAATTTGTTTGTGCCAACCAAGATGCATGTGGTTGCTTTATTAAAACAACATATGGGTTACTGTGTGCGTGTCAACTTGCCAATTTCCAAATACAAGGTGATCGTGTTCCTTTAGAATCAATTATTGTATTTTGGAAGAAATTACATATTGAAGATCATGAGGTCACTCATGAAGATAGTGGTACACAATTTAATTTAGAAGCAAAGTGTGAAGAGTTGAAGACATATTTAACTACTTTGGATATTGTAGGCCAAAGGGCGTTGAAGAAAAAGTTTGGGAACTAACACATCCATCCACGACTTCTATGTGTTTATCGACAGTGAAGTACAAGTCAAAGAGGGGAGTTAAGAAGAGTAAAAATGGTCAAGAGAGTTATGTACATCGTGATACTTCATAGTATGAGTATGTTGAGGGCTCACATGGGAGTCAGATTACAAAGAGATCATGTACAAAACCTACTAAAAGTCAACTGTCAAGTATGTTGGCTGAAAGTCAATCATCTGCCGAATCTTTGAGACACGTGTACTTGTCTCAGTTTCCTAATTTCTTACATGCGTACATTGATGACATTGTTGATGTTGATAAAGATGGAAATTATGGTTTCTATGCTATTGCAGATCTACTTGGATGGGGTGAAGAGTAATGGTTTTTGGTTTAGATGCAATTAGATACTCAATTTCATCAACATCATAAATTGTATTCCAAACTGTTCTATGACACAGTCTCTATAGTTAGGAGTGCATTGCGTTTAGATACATTGGGTGTGTTAGGCATGGATAAATGAATGAAGATTCTTGATATGGGTTACCCTACTGCTTGTACATACAATGTTATATTTGTATCCTTGTCCAAGAAACTTAACATCACATTTTCCCCCTTGTCGTAGCTCCACCTATGTATAGGATTAGGCATAAAATTATTCTTGTTGGTTTTTTATCAACAACAATCATTGGGTTTAGATAAAGTTGAAACCTGATTGTCTATTACCTCCCTTCACTAGTCGTTGGCGACAGAACTGTACCGAAAATGCAAAAACATGATAACTTTTCCAAAATGTCTATTGATAAGTGTAAATTGTAGTTATTTTGGTATATATGTTTTGTTGCACTTATTGATGCTTTTTGTTAATATCGATTGAATAAACCCGACTTTGTGTAAATACGTTTAGTTTGTACGTAATTTAGTTTTCGATTCATTTGTGTAATGTTTGATGGATTTTACTTCTTTTGTAGGTATTTGTCACATATTTGGAGCATCGAGGAATAAGGTGTCGAAAACATGGCTCTGGATGCACGTTCTCAGAATAAAAGACCATTTTTGAGAAATTTCTATCCAGGCAAGCGCGCTAAGCGGATTTTGTAGTGTGCTATGAGAGATTTTGTGAAGTTTGGTAGAAGCATAATTTTGAGCCCGCTTAGCGCGGTTTAGGCGGTTTAATATGTAAATATTGCGCAGCCCGCTTAGTGCGGTGAGCCTACTAAGCACGGTCTATTGAGATTTATTTTATACCTTCATTTTAGTTCATTTTTAGGTTATGGTTTTTGGGGTGTTTTTGTTCCCAAATTCCACCAACCTTATTTTTTATATATTAGCTTAGAAAACAACACTAGGGCTTTGCTTATGGAT